TTTTTTTTAACTTTTTATCTTAAGATAAGACTAGAAAACAACCACACCTGAAAATGGAGATAAGGAGTTGGACTCATGAATCGCGTGGGTTGACTGCAACTGCACAAATATCTTTCTTTTTATTAACCTCCACCGGCGTGGGTTGACTGCAACTGCACAAATATCTTTCTTTTTATTAACCTCCACCGGTCCATATTAGATAATGGGAACGCCAGACGAATTTTCCTCCTTTCCCATCAACAATAAAAGAGATAGTGATATATGTGTGTGTGTGTATTTGGCATACCTACTCCCATTGTATTTTATTTAGGAAAAAAAAAAATTCATAGTGAATTTTTGAATTATATGTAATTTCTTCTTCTCATATATATTAATCAATTGCTAATAAATTCTTTAAAAAAATGCCCCAAAGAGAATTCAAACTACAACCTACAAGGAAGTGACTACTAGGTAGCTGATCATCTTATTAATAAAAGGCAGAAGGGTGGACGCTAAAGTCTGCTGCAATGCAGGAGCCAGAATTTTAAGTGAAGGCGGCACACTGTTAAAAAAAATAATAATAATAATAATACGGAGTACATATACATATATATATATATATATATATATATATAACAACTATAAAATTCAAAAAGACACAGAAGAAGAAAATTATTAAAATATAAAAGGAAAGAAAAATGAAATTATTTTAATAGGAAATAGTTAAAAAGTTTCAATTGAAGAAGAAAAATTTGGCTTTTTCTACTAAAGAAATTTAAGGAATGTGAAGAGTAAAAGAAAAAATAAAGAAAAAACAAGAATATAATTTTAGGAACTACAAATTTGAGGGGGGCACCATATAAATTTTTTCATATATATGAAATTTTTTTAAAAAAATTACCACGTATATTATAGGTTGCTGACCAACTCAGGGAGGACACGTGCCCCTCTAGGCCTTCATTGGCTCCGTCCCTGGTGCAATGCAGTACTGTTCTAATGATAATTAGTGGACAATCCTTTTTTTTTTAATGCATGGTAGTACAAAAGTTGTCAAGTTATTTAATAAGTTGTGTTATAGTTTTTTTTTTATTAAAATAAAATTAAACTTTTTTAGTTGCTTGCTTTTTGCTTGTGCATGTGTATGATGGCTTCAGCTTCTAAGGGCAGAAATACTCTTCAAAATGATAAATTTTAAATATTAATTAATGTCTTGAAATCTAGTATTAATCGGGCACTAATATTTTGTCTTAATTGTCTTTTGTTACATCTTTTATCTATATCTATATTTATCTATACTATTCTAAAAGAGAATTTCTTAACATTTCGGATTTTTTTTTTTTATTTCATATAAATACTTTAATTTATTGCTTTCATATATTAATATATACACATACAATAATTAGTTGATGATTCGTAGTCATAACCCCTATCTCTCCATTACTAAATTTTTTTTATTTTTCTGAATGTGTAAGAAAGAAATTTGATTGTTTTTAAAGGAAAAGAAAGAATGATAAAACAGGGAACAATTTTACAGAGGCAATTTTGTAAGAATTTGATGGTATAATATACTAGAGATTATTTTGTTGCAAAAAGGGTAAGGACTATAGTCACTATACCAATATAAAAATGGAATTTGATTGTTTTTTTTTTTTTTTTTGAGTTTCGATTATGATTGTTATAATGTTTAATAATATCTTGTTTGTTTTTATTATTACTCTTTTTTTCCTCCATGCTGATTGCGTACAGGATGATTGTGTAATTCCATTATTTTAATTTCACATTAATCTTTGAAGCAATTTATTTTTTACAGAAAAAGAAAGAATGATGAAACATGGGACAATTTTACAGAGGCAATACTAAAATTTTAATTTTTTAAAACTAAATTAAGAACATATATGGATGCTAACTTGACTAAATTTCAACAAATTTTATTTTTTATATATATTTTCTCTCTTTACTGTTCATCCAATAGAGAAGAATTTTAATTTTTAAAAACTAAATTAAGAACCGTATGGATGCCTAACTTGACTAAACTTCAACAAATTTTACTATTTATATATATTTTTATACACTTTCTCCATTTGCATTGCAAAAAATTATTCTAGCACCTATTGCATTTTTCCACTTGCGGTAATTTTAATTTCAAAATTTACTCAGAGGTGGAATAATTCGATTTAAAATAAATAAATAAATAAAGCACACGTGATTCACACTTGGGGAGAAGACATGTTTTTAGCCACCCTCTCTCTCTTCATATTATATTTTAGAAATATATACTTGCTAATCATGACATAGTAATCATGCACTTTCCCTATGTCCAATTTCTAATAATCCTCATTACTTTGCACATATTTGAGGGTGTTTCCATATCCTTTGTGATCTTTGTGAGCAATCAAAAACCAAATGTTATCATTCTGCTTAATGTGTAAGCATCTCTGAATTTAGCAAATAGAAGTATTAGTTATAAACTAGCTGGGTTTTGAAAATAAATGTTAATTAACTTTATGTTTTACATGTTTTATAAAATTTCAGATTTTGTTAGATCGAGGATAATATAGTAGTTGGAGTTCGACATGCTTATAAAACATGTTTAATTCCAAAACTCCCATTATTTTAATTTTTTTTATTTTTTCCCATGGAATTTGTTTTCAAATATACAATCATGAAATTTTCAAAATATTCCAAGAAATATGTTCTCAAAAATCATTTTCATGTATTTTTCTAATTTTCAAGAAAACAAGCTCTTAGAGAGATAGATTATATGACAATATCCACTATTACCTTTAAGTGATGAGTTTGACCCCAATGACAATTTATTAGCATTCTAATCATGGGGTTTATATTTGAAAATTAGAATACTCAATAGTCAATACTTTATCTTATAAATCATAATTTATTTTGATGAATTTCCAGCTAATCATCGTTCTAATGTACATGTGAAAGAAGGTTGTTATTCCAAGAGGCTTCAAAAAAGCTTTACAGTGAAATTTTTCCCAAAAAATGATTTACCTATTCTGCACTTTTTCTATTTTATGCTATTAGTAAGCTCTATTAATTACCATTCTGCACTTTTTCGATTTTGTGTAAAATGTGTTTTTATGCCAGTGTGATTTTGATTCTTTATAAACTTTTGATTTTTGTGATTGATTGACATGCTATTTTCAAACTGAAAATTGTAATTTATATGGTCACAATTTAAACTATTCATGTTAACTTGCCACTTTTAGAAGTTCTCTTAATAATTTGAAGGTTTTGACCGAATTGCTAGGCCTAAATATAAGTCCTTTAGTGATAATATAATGTATTTATTTTATTTATATAAAAGAATATACATAAATTATATGTAATATATATTTTGATTACCTTTTTAGTATTTTAATTTGAAACATTAGTAGATTAAATTTTTATTTTTATTTTTTATTTTTAAACCATGGGTATCAGCTTAAGTTCACTTTTATTTAATGATGAAAGGAAAATCAAATTATTCTTAATGATTTCAAAAAATTTAGAATCAAATTAAACCATTTAACCAAAGGAACTGAACCAAACCAAACTATGAAATTAATTGAAATAGAAGATTATATATGATAATTATCCAAAACTCTACTAACAAAAATAAAACAAATAATTGAGTAGCCCAAAACAAGACACTTGGCATTAACTTTTGTTAATTGCACAAAAGTCCCTCCACAAAAGGATAATTGTACAAATGACTCAAAATGAAAATATCTTCCAAAAGATGCTTTTTTTAAAAAAACTCTAAAAATTTCATGCGATACAAGTCAAATGTTGTGCATTGGGGTTCAAGTTCAAGTTGACAATTCGTATTCGTAGGTCATACTCGTATCGTGTCATGTCGATGTAAGGTATTCTACTAAATAGATAAACCCAAACCCAATCTATTTAATAACCGTATTAAAAACCTCAACACTAACCCGATCTGTTTATTAAATGGGTTAACTTAATAACATGTTTATCAAAACGAGACCTCAACACTAACCCGATCTGTTTATTAAATGGGTTAACTTAATAACCTGTTTATCAAAACGAGACATTTAATATTTAATCAAATAATAAATATTAAAAAACATTTGTCACAATTAATCTAAATATTCAAAATAAGAAAATAAATCATAAGGCGTAATTAAGGTTTATGTTAAAACAACTTAATTGTCCATAATAATTGGGTTTAAACAAATAACATACATAGCTCATATTCATGATTATGATATGTTGAATTAAACGGATAAAAACAGATTACACGTGTTGAATCCCCTCAACCCTAATCCAACACAGTTAAATAAACGAGTTAATCGTATCAACCTGTTTATGACTCGAATTCGTTTAAGGTCAATCCAAACTCGCTTATCTCGTTTCGAATCGTGTTGACAGGTCGTGTCGTAATTTGCCACCCCTAAGTTCAACCAAATTATAGCCATTGTTGTAAACCTAATTTTTATAATAATTGTGTTGGTATATATTATAATTATTTTTATTTTAATTACTTGATATTTATTTTTTACAATTTTATATGATTTACATTAACATTATTATGGTTATCATAATGATGATGATAATTATTATATCTAAGGTTGTATTATTATGATTATTTAATAACTAATTCATCACGTGTATCGCACGTTGAATTTTGCTAGTTATGAAAAATATACATAAAATAAAGTAAATTATTGTTCAAGTCCAAATCTACATGTCCGTAGTTATATAAAATTAACGCTACATGAATGGATGGCAATTTACCATTTGAGTTAAAACAAAATCAATCTCATGCATCATCACATAAGTAAAGCATTTGAAAGACATCTACTTTCCCACACACAAAAAAAAAAAAAAAAAAAAAATTCAAATAAAAATTTTAGTTACTCATAATTTTTATCTCCACCATCATATATATTCTGGTAAATCACTATGCAATAGTTAGTAACTTCTGACTTAACAGGTGACAGTAACACTAAAGTCAATTGTCCTTCATTTTTCCAAGCTTTTAAAATTAAAGCTTACAACACACTTCAATAAGTTATAAATAGACATGTTGCACATGCAGCTATCAGTAACAATCATTAGCACTGTTCAATTTCAACGAGGAACAGTCATTAAGATTGATGCTCACAAATATCCTTAATCTCTCTCTTTCTCCATCCCTCTCTCTCTCAGACACACGGAGGTTCCCAAATTTGTATCCTTAACTCTCACGCAGAAACACACAAAGAAAGATATGGATTTGCTGAGTTTCCTACTATGTGTTCTGTTTATCTGCACTTTGGTTCAAGGCCTACTCTCAATTGCAAATGCAACCAAAACTAGTCAGGGCAAGCTTCCACCGGGACCGGCACCACTGCCTGTCATCGGAAACATTCTTAAATTAACCAACCAACCCCACAAATCTCTCTTCCAGCTAGCCAAAACATATGGTCCTATCATGACCTTAAAACTAGGCCAAATAACCACAGTGGTCATTTCTTCATCAACTATTGCCAGAGAAATCCTCCAAAGGCAAGACGTCTCCTTCTCCAACCGATTCCCCCCAGACGCAATACGAGCCCGCAACAACCACTTATACACACTGGCTTGGATACCTGTTTCAACCCAGTGGAGATACTTCCGGAAAATCTTGACCTCTCATGTATTTTCAACTCAAAAATTGGATGCTCAGCAACAGCTCAGGTGCCAAAATGTTCAGGAGCTCATTGACTTTGTCCACAGTTGTTCCAAAGCAGGTGTTGCAGTGGATATAGGACAAGCTGCATTTAGAACTAGCCTTAAACTGTTGTCAACCACCGTATTTTCTGTGAATTTGATTGACCCAAGTTCTGATATGACACAAGTTATCAAAGAATCAGTTCGGGGCATAATGGCAGAGTCTGGAAACCCCAATTTGTCTGATTACTTCCCTGTCCTTAGAAAGTTTGATCTACAAGGTGTTAGACGTAGAACGGGGTATCATCTTGGGAAGATGTTTGAGTTCTTGGATAGGATGATCAATAAACGATTGGAGATGAGGAAATTTCATGGTTATATAGGGAGCAACGATGTGCTGGATAACCTTCTCAGTAACAAGGATGAGATTGATCAAATTCACCTCCAAAGTTTGTTATCGGTATGTCTCATACAAGTTCTAGTTTATTTATCATTTTTCTCCAAATCCAAGGATAGTACATATTTGTTTAAGAAAATAAAATACAATCTTGTTATTGCATGATAGGACAGGGTAAAGCCCTTTTATTTAAAAGGATTTTAAAAAAAGAAAAAAAAGAAAGTACAGTCTTTATGTAGAAATGTTGCTCAATCTTTCTAATTCAAACTAGAAGTGTTTTATCATTAAAACCAAAGCAACCATTTTATGCCTTAAAGGGGGATGACCATGCCAATGTCCTTTTTTATGAGTAATGGCACCGGTGCTTATGTAATTTTTTTTCCCCTCCAAAAGTTCAATTAAATGCACACATTCACAAATTTTTTTTTTTTTCCTAGTTGAACTCACACACACGTCTCTTCTGAGACTTAAACCCCTGACCCTACATTTTTGCAGGATATATTTACCGCGGGGATAGATACAACTTCAAGCACATTGGAATGGGCAATGGCAGAGATTTTACACAAGCCACAAACTCTTTCGAAAGCCAAAGCTGAGATGGAACAAGTTGTGGGCAAAGGCAAGCCGGTGGAAGAATCAGACATCCCACACCTACCATACTTGCAAGCAATCATAAAAGAGACCTTCAGGCTACACCCAGCACTGCCATTCTTGATACCGCGCACAGTTGATGCAAATGTTGAAGTTAATGGCTTCACAGTCCCAAAGGGTGCACAAGTGCTAGTAAATGCGTGGGCTATTGGCCGCGATCCAAATGTATGGGCAAATCCTGAATTGTTTATGCCAGAGAGGTTCTTGGGGTCAGAAATTGATGTCAAAGGCCACAATTTTGAGCTAATTCCATTTGGGAGTGGACGGAGAATATGCCCTGGAATGCCGCTGGCTATTAGGATGGTTCACTTGATGTTGGGTTCACTCATAAACTCATTTGATTGGAAGCTTGAAGATGGCATTGCACCACAGGACTTGAACATGGACGATAAGTTCGGCTTCACCTTACAGAAGGCTCAGCCTCTGCTAGCTATCCCTATCCATACCTAAAATCCACTGTCCTCCCTAGGCAGTAATATATTAACTACTTGAGATTACTATAGAATAAATGTTTTGTGCAAATAACTCCCTAATAGTTTTGGGGAGACTTGAACCCTCGGCATCTCACTTTGCAAGGAGAGGGATCCGAGGGGATACAAGTAGGCCATGGGCGTTGGTGAATGAATGTTTGTGTTTTCAAAATCTATTACTGCATGTATCATAAAAATAACAGTAAAAACTGTGTTATTTTGGGTATTACAGTAGTATCTATAACTATATTGTGTTTATGTATAAGGTCTCTCCCCTTATATTGAGAGCCTAACTATTCATCACGGTCTCAAGCCAAGTCCATTCCATGACATTAATTTAGCCGTTGGACCTAATTGAGTTGCTCTTACTCCTTAACAGCTAGGATTAAGCTTGTTTAATTGATTGTCACTGCTTACAAACAGATCAAGAGTAACTAACCCAAGGGTAACAATTTATTTAATGGATTTCTTTGTTTTATTTGTTAATGGTCTTCATCCAAATTCATTAATGGAGTTCATTTTGGTTCCATACTTATGTGAACAATTTATCTCAATATTTGTATATATAATAATTTTGCAGGGACATCCTATTTTAAAAAGTCGGTCAAATTTACTTTCCAAATGCGATTCATCCATACATACATATGTGCGTATGGAATTTCTCACTCTAAGTATAAAATTTGTTCTCGTAAAGTATAGCTAGGAACAGAAGAAGAGAAATAGTGACTCGCCTTAACTCGGAATTGTAGACGCCAGGCGCAGCGAAGATCTTGACTGGTTCACCGATTTGACTCGGTAAATTGATGGTGTGAGCAAGTTGCCAGAGACCAGCGTCGCAACCGGCGAAAACCGCAATGAATGCGACCGGATAAGAGAAAATCGATAGTCAACAACCGGTTTATATCCCTCTAGTTTCAAAATTAATTATATTGAAGTTCCTTTATTGAATAAAGTTTTAATTGAATTGTCACTCAAAAATCACCCTTCAGGAAAACACTTTTAGAAGAACACAAATCTCTCAATCAATTTTAAGAACCCAATAAACGGTTAAGCATCTTCACTATAGCTCCCTTCATATTGTGTGTGTGTGTATATATATATATATATACATTTCAATACACAAATTTATAATAAGGTCTCAATAATTCCATCTGTCAAGGGCTGGTAATGTGTCCAGAAGCTAGTAAGAAATCAAAGCGATGTGGACAGAGAACTTACAACAAGGCCGCAGACTACGTAAGTGAAAAGAATGAGAATGATGATCTGGGCATACCTTATTATTCTCTCTAAATCTTTCTGTGGCAACTCAAAATCACCTCGTGTGCGAAAGAGAACCATATAATATTCAAACGCAAATAAATGGCACAAAATGAAGAAACATAAAATCTAACTTGAAATTAATTTTCTTCATAAACCTAACCAATTAAAAATTCAACGATGCATTATCAAATGAATTCAAAATATAGGAATTAAAGCTTTTACATGTTCTTCGAATATGATGATAAATCGAACCTAACTGATCCTCATGTGCTGTGATTAGGAACTCCTTTACGTCCAATTATTGTGTATCTGAGAAATTGACCTTCAATAACTGCGATCGAAGACCACCAAGAGAGAAAACTGATTCCAATTGGGTTCTTTAGTGGGTTTTCCTGAAGATAGAAGATATCAGTACATGGGCATTAGGGCTTTTGTGGAGAGAGAAGTAGTTAGCCGTCAGGGCAATTTCATTAGGGTTTTGTTGGGTACAAATTGTAGATGAACAAATTGATTAGGACTTTTGTGGAGAGAGAAGGTTTTGGGAGGCTTTTGGGTAGACTGAAGAAATTAATAAATGAACATGAAAGAGCGTGTTTTGGGGCGTTGACGAATGTGTCACCACCACACGGGGGAGTGTAAAATTTGGAAAGGAAATTTAGGAGGGAAATTTTATTTTTCATTCACCAGCGAGCGCTTTTTACTCCACATTAAAATTTGGAAAATACGCGGTTGATATATATATATATATATAAATATTAATGGCATTTTAAAATTTGGAAAATACGCTGTTGATATATATAATATTAATGGCGTTTTAAAATTACCGTGGAAACAATCTTTTACGAGGATCGTATTAAAACCTCGTGAAAGCTTCACTTTTTACAAGAAACCTTTAGGCTTCGTTTGGATACACAGCCGAAAAAAGAAAAAGAAAAGAAATGATTAGGAGAGAAAAGAAAGGAAATGATAATTATAATTTATATTTATATTTTGATAAATAGGAAAAAAAAAGAAAGAAAAGCATAATATTCTTATTTGGATAAAATAGATAAGAGAAAAGAAAGTAAAGGATAATAATTAAATTACTGTATTACCTTTTTGTATTTAATGTAAATAAAATAGCTTACTTTCAAAGTTTGAATTACTTGTAATTTGGAAAGCTTGAATTACCCTTTTGAACTACTTGTATTATATAAAATCCTTATAATTTATTGGCCTTCCATTCCGAAAGTCGTTGTTTCAACTTTAAGCTGAGCAAATTTTGTGTGCTCAAAAATTAGCAGCTCAGTCTGTAAATGATGGTGAGCTTCATCTTGCAGTTTCTATGAGTTCATACTTCATTAAATCTGCTATCATATTTTTAATTATTGGGTTATTTGCAAGTTCAGTTAGTTTGGTGCCGATACATTGGTACATAATGACTAGCCCATTTACTGGTGATGTCACACACAAGTTTTTTGAAAGTCATAAATATTTTAGCCATGTATATATATATATTTCTTTGTTTTTTTATTTAGTTCTTGATTTTAGGGTAGCTCACCTATGAATACATTTTTAGGACTTGAATGTAATATGAATTTTGTGTATAGAATTTTAAAGACTAATTTCGTCTTTAATGAAAATTTTACTTTAATTGTTTCATTTCCCCTCAAATCTTCTCAAAATTGGAAGGATTTAGTTAGAGGGATAGGCTATCGGCTATCCCTCCAAATCATTCTCAATCATTTATTTTCTCTTCTATTATCTCCATCCAAACACACTTAATACTATTATTCCTTTTCTTTTTTCTTCAAATCCCTCTAAATCCCTCAATCCAAACGAAGCCTTAGAAAATCTCGTAAAAAGTATTTTTTACGAGGCAGAACAAAAGAAGCCCGTACATATTATATCGTAAAAACCAATTTTTGTTGTAGTGCCCCCTCATGTTTAAATCCCTCCCCTCCCTATAAAGGCCGTTTGGGGGAGCTTCCTGTACCCCCAAAACGGGCTTCTAAACCAGCAAAACCCGTTTGATAGTAAATGTAACTATTTGGTGAAACTTTTAATCGAGCTTTGACTAAAATTCAACAATTTGAAAGCCCGTTTAGCGGAAGCAAGTATTAGATGCTTTTAAAAACCACGTTCCATAACGTTAGGTATTATGATTGTAAAATACCATATTATCCCTTCCCTTTTTTGGTATCATTCTTTTCTCTTTACAAATTCTCTTTCTAAATTTATCTCCGATACATCCATGGCTTCCACCAATGATGGTTGCCGGCTGTAACAAACTACCCACCGGCAACCAGCATCGTTCTTTTATATTGCTCGCTTACCTCCACCACCACCACTCTTCCTCTGCCGCCTCATCGCCGGTGTCGCCACTGGCACATTCCTAATATCAATTGTAAATAGTATTTTGCTTTTGATAAATTCTTCAAATTCACTGACAGATATAAAAATTAGAAAAGAATAGACAAAAAGATTGTGACGACAATCAGAATCAAATTTCATCTTCTGTTAGACAACTAATCCTGAGCGTTCTTTTAGAATTGAAATAGGAATGAAAATGGGTCTATAAATTTCTGTCAAATCTCTCTAATGGATTGGATGTTGTTCTTTGTTGGTTTTTCTATATACTTCATTCCAATTCTTTTGTTGCAAACTCTGAGAATGATTCAAAAGTTTTATGGCAATCGGTGGTTTACAAGAGATGGGTTTGAAAGAAAATGGTGGTGCCCATAGAAGATGGGTTAAAATAGAAATTGGGTATAAAGGAAATGGCTAATATTGTCAACTGAAATTTAATTTAATATTTAAAAGGCTTTTAAAAAATATATTCACCAAACACCTTTTTTTTATTTAATAAATTTAGCAAAATTCCTTATAAAAGGCCTTGCGCATCAAAGGACTTTTAATGTTAAAAAGCTCCCCCAAACACCACCAAAGTGTGCAATTAAGGACTTTTTGTCAAGTAAATAAACCAGATAGGCGAAAAGACTAAAATACCCTCCATAATTCTCATAACAAAAATATTAAAAAATAACTAGAAATTGAAATTACATCAAAGGACATGTTTTTTTTTTTTTTTCTTTTTTCTTCATTTAGTTAACTGAAGCATTATCATCATTTGGCCACACACAAGCAATCACATTGTGTCCCTCTATACCTTAGCCAGAGACAATTCAAATCACCTTCGTTCCTAGCACACCCATCATCATCATCAACGACGACAAAAAAAAAATCAATCAAAATAGCGTCGTTTCCTATACCACTCTCTCTGTCCTCTCTTTCTTCTTCATCCCGAACTCTTTAATTTGATCGCTGGTGTAGCTCTCTAATTACAGGTAATAGCGATTGCCTCCCTTTTCTTTCTCTACTCTGTACCGTAAGTGGAATTAAAAATTGTTCCTTTGATCTTTTGCTTGTTTCGGCAATTCTCGAGTGCACGCTAGATTGGGGCGTGGTATTGGATTGATTTTGTAGGAGATATGGTTAATCAGATGGGTTTTTCGTTTTATTCCAATTGGATGGCCAATGAATGTTTTTCGCATGACAAGAGTAGGGATAATTATACTGTGAGGTGTAAAGGATGCCCAACGTATCATTATACGTGGTAGAGCAATCGCGACGTTTTAGTTCAATTGTCATCTTGATTTGCTTGTGGTTTTTTTGGGAGCTTGGTTTGGGAGACTCAAAAAGAAACCATGAATAAATACTTTGAGCAATTTAGTAAGATATTGGAAGCTGTTGTGATCATTGATTAAAAGACCGCTAGAAGATCCAAAGGCTTATGGATCTATATGTTACAATCTTTAATTTTCAGTACTCTTCACATTATATATATTCATTTTTGTCTCAATGTGCCTGAGCTTGCCAATTTTTGGAATAGTTTCAATTTTAAGGTGCAATTTTCCATGTACTTTATAGACTAGTCTTATAGTTACTCGTAGCCACATGCAGCGTAAGAAAGACAACTACCCTTTTAGTAGCCACATGAATGACTAGGAAGTGGAAAAAATAAAA